TAGATGTATTATCTCACAATTAACCAATCTTTAATTCTTTCTTCTGCCTGCTCAAATATGCTGTTGAATCTCTGTAGTGACTTTTTCATTTCATTTATTGTACTTTTTAGCTCCAGAATTTCTTTTTGGAGACTTTTAATTTTTTTTAATAATTTGTAAAAACAATTAATTTAAATTCTTTGTCCAGTAAGTGTAATGGTTGTGCTTCCAAATGGACATTTTATTAATTTCTTCTTTTTCCTTGCAATGGACAATACTTTGCATGCCTCCTAATTTTTGGTAAAAATAAGTTGTTTTGAACCTTATAATATGGCAACTCTGGAAATCAGATTTTCCCCTTCACTGTTTTATTTTTATTTATTTATTTGCTGTTTGTTGGTTGTTTGCTTGTTCAGCAGCTTCTCAAAATTCCTTTTGTAAAGTCTGAATTCTTTGTTATTTGTTGCCACTGAAGTCTGTGTTCCATTAGTTTAATGTTTCGGTAGTTTCTTTAAATGCCTGGAGCCAAAAAAATGAAAATACTTTCTAAGTCTTGTGGTTGAAACAAAGGCAAGTCCTTTTACTCTTGAGGCCACCAGACATGTTAAAATTCACAACCAAGGTTCTTTCTGAATAACATCCTTATTGCTCCCTCTGGCACTTAACAGCCTACACTCTACTCATAGTTGTTACTATTCTGGGGTATGGAAGATGATAAATGAGTAATTTTAAAACTTCATTCTTCACCAAGACTTCCTCTGATTGTTGGGTTATTTTAACTAAATTCTAGAGTTCTGCAAAAGATAATTATGAATCTTTTGGCCACTCACAAATCATTTTTGTGAAAGGACTGGGCTTAGGAATTTCCTTTACCACTTCTGATGGTGCTACCCCCCCCCCCAAGAACATATTAGTCTACTATATGAATTATTGACACATCTTGAACTATTTTAAATCTTCAGTTATCTCTAATACTGTAGAGTACTTATGAGCTTAGTTAATGACCTTTCCAAATGAATTTTTACAGTGATATTTGGTTAAAGGTAATATAAATTTTCAAATTTTTTATGTTTAATTTTGGTATATTGGGATAGATTGTTGATCCCCTTATTGATTAGCTGTCCAGGATAGAAACTTTGGGTGATTTAAGTCCAAGTAAAACTTGAGTAGTTCATATCTAAATAATTTGGTATTTTTTTGTTTTTTTCAAACCACTTAGTTTTATAAGTGTGTAGAAAGCAAGAGTTTAACATGGAGATTAAATACCTTATACTATTTATTTAACAAATACTGCTAATTATTTATCACTATGTAAGAAAATCTTCAAGTTGACATTATTGGTATTTGGGGCCATTTAATTCTGTGTCATTTGAGCTTGTCTTGTGCCTTCTGGGATGTTTAGCAACATCCCTGGCCTCTACCTACTAGATGATAGTATCTCCCTCCTCCAGTTTTGACAACCAAAAATATCTCTAGGCATCGCCAAGTATTTCCTGAGGTATGATGTCACCCAGCTGAAAACCACTGCTCTGTGAATGAACCAGAGGACTCTGAAAAGGACACTGCTGTTCCTTTTAATACTTTACTGCTGAGTAGAAGAATGTTCTATTATAATACAATCCAGAAAGTACTAAGTAGTAAAGGGTTATAAATAAAGTGCTATCAGAATGTAAGGAAGAAAAAATAGCTTCTAGTTGGCATTAGGAAACATGTCAGTGAGGTGGATGTGTTAACTGGGTTCTGAAGACTTGGAATAGTAAGAATTAACTTCATAAAAGAATTTTTTCACAAAGGCAAGACATTTTTATCTAGAGAATAAAGTTATAGGTTGTTTGGGGGTAGCACTTAGGTTATGTAAATGAAAGAGTAGAAGGAAAACAATGTGTTGGAACTAGACCTTAAAAGAGCTAGGCATTAAGTCAATAGGCATTGGGGAAATTATATGCTCTTAAAAGAAAATATTTCCTGTATGGTATTAGAATACCTGAAACAGAAAGATATAAAAATATTAGCCATTTTTTTTCTTGTTCTTTTTCTTTTAATTATTAGAGATATAATCAGTAGGAGATAACATGAGACACTTTTACAAGAAATTGGCTTAAGTGATTATGCAATGCTGGTTAGCTAAGTCCAAAATCAGAAGATGAGTGGTCAGGAAATGCAGGCTGGAAACTCTTAAGCAAGAACTAATACTCTTATCCACAGCTGAAGTTCTTCCTCAAGGAAACCTTAGTTCTGTTTTTAATGCTTTTTAATTGATTAAATCAGTCTTACCCATATTATTGGTGATGATCTCAACTGATTTTTAATGTTGATCACAATAAAAGACCTTCATATCCAAATCTAATTAATGTTTCATCGACTAACTGCATATTATGCCTAGAAAAGATGACACAAAACTGACCATTATTCTATCTATAATTAACAAAGTATGTTAAAAATAAGCATATTTTTATTTCTTTTTTTGCGGGGGTGGTGCTGGGGATTGAACCTAGGGCCTTGTGCATGCAAGGCAAGCACTTTACCAACTGAGCCATATCACCAGCCCAATTTTTATTTCTTTTATAAATGAATCAGTGAACTGCCCAGTTTGAAACTAATAAAATTGTTTAGATTTCTAGCAGTTCTCACATAAGAACTAAGTATAAAGCCGAGTAACATTTTTTTGTAACTTACTTCCTCTAATTTTGTGCTCATAGAAAAGTTGTAATGCTAACACAAGAAGTTCCCATATATTTTTATTTTGTTCCATTGCTTCTCTTCTGTATACACATATGTTGACAGTTAAGTTTAAGGCTTCAGGCCCTTTATTCCAATGTGTAAGTTTTTTTTTTTCCTGGATAGCCTTGAGCAAAACCATAGTAATGTATATGTATTTGCAAAGTACATTTTAATTCTCACTTTCCCTTTTATATTCGCACTTTTGGCCATTGACAAATGCTAAATTATTTGTTGTTCTACCCATTCCTGAAGTCTTTTCATTTTTCTTAGTCTTATTTCTTCCTGTTACTTAGATTGGTAATTTGTACTGATTAATCTTCGAATTCATTTATTCTTTTCATTGTCATCTCTCTCCTGCTATTAAGCCCATTCAGTGAGTTTTTTTTTCTGTTAATATCTTTGTTCTAAACTTGCCATTTAGTTCTTCTTTGTATTTTCTGTTTCGTTACTGAAACTTTTTTTTTCATGTTTCCAGTGTGTTCATAATTCCTCATTCAAGTATTTTTATAATGCTTACCCTAAAATCCATGTCAGATAATAGTAGAATAATAGAAATTTTTCTTGGGTTTGGGTATGATAAGTAATTTTTGTATTATTATTATTATATTCTGGCCATTTTGGATATTGTGGGACTTTGGATCTTATTTAAATCTTGTGTTTTAGCAGAACCAGCAGGAGAGGAGGCCTCCCTGCCAGGTGTTGTTGAAAATTTCCAAGTCCCCACTTTGCATCCGTTGATTAGTACCACATTTGCGAAGATAGGGTATCTATGACCTCTGGGTATTAGTAGAAGTTTAGGCTCTCCATTCATCCTCTACTGACACTGAGGGAAGATAAAGAACTCCTTGTTATGAATTATCAAGGGTGAAAGTCTGTAGTCTTCCCAGTAGGCCTCCCCACTGATTGACAAGGGTAAAGAGAATCATTTCATGCTGTTTGGCTTGAGTATGGAACCATTAATGTCAAAAATATATTTGTCAAAAAAAAAAAAAAAAATATATATATATATATATATATATATATATATATATATATTTGTCTTGCTATCCTGTACCTTTCCAGATCTAAAAAGAGAACAAGCTTTTCTTGTTGGTGGCTTTTTGTTCTATTATTGTTGTTTAGTTTGGGATAGGATGTTTGTTGTTGGTACTCATTGGTGTTTTGGGGCTATTGGCCTCTCTGTTGCCCTGTCCAAGGCATATAAGAGGCATAAAGAAAATGCATCCAGGTGCAGTGGCACACATATGTAATCTCAGCAGCTCAGGAGGCTGAGGCAGAAGGATCATGAGTTCCAAACCAGCCTCAGAAAAAGTGAGGTGCTAAGCAACTCAGTGAGACCCTGTCTCTAAATAAAATATAAAAAAGGGCTGGGGATGTGGCTCAGTGATTGAGTGCCCCTTTGGCCACCCTGCCAAAAGAAAAGAAAATGTAGAAACTTCCTGTAATGTCGCTGTTAAAGTTCTGTGATCATAAGTCACTCCACCTTTGCTCCACTATAAGAGGGTTATTTTTTGTTTGTTTGTTTTGGGTACTGAGGATTGAACCCAGAGGAACTTTATCACTGAACTTTATCTCCAGTCTTTTTTTAAAATTTGAGACCGGGTCTCTAAGTTGCTTAGGGCCTTTCTAAGTTTCTGAGGCTGGCTTTGAATTTACGATCCTTCTACCTCAGCCACCGAGTTGTTTGGATTATGTGTGTGCCTCTGCACCCAGCAAGAATCCTTTTTTTTTTTTTTTTTTTTTAAACATACTGTGTTCAGGGTTTTAAGCTGCAATTACTGGGAAGAATAGAGAAAAGTTTTTTGTCTACTGATTTTGTTCAGAAATGGACGTACTGAATGATTTAAAATAGAAATCAGTTCATTAAAAACTTAAAATGCGGTGGGGATGTGGCTCAAGTGGTAGCACACTCACCTGGCATGCGTGCGGCCCGGGTTCAATCCTCAGCACCACATACAAACAAAAATGTTGTGTCTGCCGAAAAACTAAAAAATAGGTATTAAAAAATTCTCTCTCTTTCTCTCTCTCTCAAAAAAAAAAAAAAAAACTTAAAATGCTCAAATTATTTTATTTTTTTTGAAGTTTTTTTTTTTATTAGTTGTCAATGGACATTTGTTTACATGTGGTGCTGAGAATCAAATGCAATGCCTCACACATGCTGTGCAACTGCTGAGCCCCAGCCCAAAATATTTTATTCTTAAAAATATTTTATCATCATGTTTTGGTAAGTCACTAAGTTCATAAGATTAAGTATATTCTTATGTGTTTCTGAAAACATGTATATTTCTTTATTCTTTTAGGGTTATGTACTGAAGGACTGTACCGTGTTAGTGGTAACAAAACTGATCAAGACAACATTCAAAAGCAGTTTGATCAAGGTAGGAAGATAATTGTGTACAATAAAATTATTGTTTATTGTTTTCCTTATTGGAGTTTCATGGTGGGAAGATTTTTTATTTGAAAACTTCTTAAGGAAATGAATATTTAGAGGAGGGAGTTTCAAAGCGGGATTAGAAGTATTAAATAGAATAGATGCTATAGTAAAGGTACAGGAGAGCAGGCAAAAGTCTGTTTTTTACACTAGCAAGAAAATTATTATTTTAGAACCTTTTGTTATTAAGGTACTGACTAGTAGGGAATCAGGCAGTTGGAGATAAAAAAATAAACTTTTAAAATACATTTGAAGGAGAAGAAAGATTGAAAACAATAACAGTAGATCAAGAAAATACAGTATTTATATATATATAAAGAGCTATAAGAAAGGAGGTACTGAAAAAGAAGGCCCTCAGTATTGAAATAGTCTGTTATAGGACCAATGGAATAAAGAAGTAGAATTTATAGGTTTTGTTCTGGTAATAATGCGAGACTATGTCATATTCTAAGACTACAGAGAATAGTTCAAAATAAATTTTGGGGGGCAAGATTAGATATTTTGTGACAAAGCTACTCTCAGTTTCTTTCAATATTTCATATTCTTTCCATATTTTATATTTTTAATTCAGTAAGCTATCACAAATAAGAGTGTATGACCGAACTTTATAAATCCATCACCAGAATTGGAAAAGCAATAAGTTGACTTATGATAGATTAGCATCTTTATATCAGAGATAATCCAATGTAAATGTTGTTGGAGGGGGGTGTCCTTGATATTTACCATTAAGAATAAAAATAAAGCTAAATAACCTTCATCTTCATAAGTAAATTTTGTATATATTGAAAGATTTAAATGAAAGCCAAAAGTACTAGGGGGACCATGAGTGAATATTTTTAATAGTATTGGATTAGGAAAGTTCCTAAACTTCATGTAAAAACTAGAAAGAATGAACCAAAGTAATATAGACTGAACTACTTAAAATATAAAAGCTCTGTATGAGAATATAGATAAAACATAAAGTTGGTCACAATGGAAAATGCCTGTATAATTCCAACTCCTCAGGGTCTGCTGAGGCAGGAGGACTGCAAGTTGGAGACCAACCTTGGCAACTTAAGGAGACCCTGTCTCAAAATAATGAATGAATAGGGATGCTTCTTAATGGTAGAGAACCACTCTTTAATCCCCAGCACCACAAGCAAAATAAAAAATGTAAAACCCGAAGACAAAGTATAATCTTAATGATGGTATTGTAATACCAATGCTAGGTGAAGCAATTTATATCAGAAGAAAGTCACCAGTAAATACTTGAATATATGCTTAGCTTCTATCAATGATAGAAGAAAAAAATTATTGAAAGTTTATATTATCAGAGTGGAAGACTATTTGATATAGTGTGGGCAATCAAGTATCAAGTGCACTGTTGATTGTGGGTGCCTTTTAAGGGAAAATTGTGAATATCTATTAAAAAGCAGGTAGCTTTACTAGAGAAATTCTACATTTAGCAGCTGATGTTACAGAAGCTTTTGCACAAACATACCAGGGCATTTGTTGCAGCATTTTTTGTAATTAAAAAGAAAAATGGTAGGGTACAAGGAGTGGTGGTACATGTCTATAATCCCCAGTGTTTAATCAGAAGAATAGCCAGTTTGAGGCCAGCCTGGGCAACTATAGGTTGGAATATAGCTCAGAGCATTTGGTCTAGTATGTGTGAGGCACTAGGTTCAATCCCTGGTAAGGAACGGGGGAACCACTGGTGTCTCTGTAAGTGTAGAATACTTAATCGCCATGTAAAATAATTGGTTGTTAAAATTGCAAGATATCAGTTGTTGAGTGGCATGTATGTGTACAAAAAATACATGATTTGCCAAAGATTATTCCATTAAAAAAATATTATGGAGAACCTGTTTAGACTTTATAATATCAAATTGGTAAAATTTCATTTCTAATAATGAAGGCAGGCTAGTAGTTAATACCAAGGCTCTTAGATTTAATTTCATGGTTTTGTTTTCTAGTCTTACCACTTACTATCTTTGTGCTCTATTAAAGTTAATCTTTCTAAATTTCGGTTTCCTCATCTCTAGTTTAGGTGTCAAGAGTGAGCATGAAAATAATGCGTGTGAAGAATTTTCTGTGTGTTCATTGGGTAGCTATTATTACCCAATGAATGTAGACTAAGGAAGTAAGTTTTTATACATGAAACAGAGCATCTTGTAGACATTAAACTTGTTTATGTAGAGCAAAATGTTAACAGTTGGAGATTCTAAGTTAAGAGATTCTGGGTTAAGGATATGTTTGATATCTTAGAACTATTCTGAAAACTTGTGCAGATTTGAAATTATATGACAATTAAATGTTACCCAGAGAAAACAAAATGTTTTAAAAAGTTGCATGAAATTTTAATAACCTTTAGTAATGTTTTAAAAATGAAATCAAATATAAAATGGACAGATGTTTAGGCTGTTGTTTGTTTGTTCTTAATGAGCAGAAAAGGGCTGAAAGGGAACATGGCTAAAAGCATAAGCAATTATTGTTTCTAGGTGATGGGGGTAATTATTTTCTTTTTTGCTGTTCTATATTTTCTCATTTTAAAAACTTGTTACATAATTAACCTTTCAAAACAAGTTAAAAAATTCAAGTTATAATTTATTTACATAATTCCTCTAAGAATTAGTAAAGTTCTTCAATATAATAAACCTAACAGCATTTTTTATTGTTAACAGAAAGAGCTTCTTGCTTGGTTCTCTTTTCCCTTATCTATACAGTTTTTCAGTCTCTAAAGAAAAGTGGCTAATAAGAAGTTTTAATATCTTCTGATCTCAAAGTATCTTTTTAGCTTATTCTTCTATAATCAGTTAAAATTTTAATTTTTGTTTTATAGATCATAATATCAATCTAGTCTCAATGGAAGTAACAGTAAATGCTGTAGCTGGAGCTCTTAAAGCTTTTTTTGCAGATCTTCCAGATCCTTTAATTCCATATTCTCTTCATCCAGAGCTATTGGAAGCAGCAAGTAAGTATAAATTTCTACCTACACACACACACACACACACACACCCTTTTGGGAGAAAGTTGCTGATGTCAGTTTTCAGGTATTGATTGCTAAATATTAAAAAATCAAGTCATACACTCAAATATATAGCTATAAAAGTTCATCTTACTAGAACTCTGTTTCTTAAAGATGTTTTCCTCTAAACTGAAATAAAATCAGGATCCCTAGGGGTGGCCCCCAAGAATATTCAGTTTTAGTTAGCCTCCCAGATGACTTAAATGCTATTGTGGTTTATATTTTTAATTCAAACTCCAGAAGCACTATAACAATATTAAATACTTCAAATGAATGGATATGTAATGTACTTCAGTAAAATCTTAACCTGTGTAGAGTCTGCACATATTTAAACATTTTTTTAAATGAAGGAAATTAACTTTGGCTTCAAATATTAAGTTTTTGGAAAAGGTAAGGCAGAAACATGAGATACTTAATTCCTACTTTGATATAAATCATTCAGATGTTTCCAGTAAGCAGATACTCGCTTATCTGGAAAATAAGGCATCATTTTGGGCATCAAGTAACCTGCTTGATTTACATTAACAACTAAATTTGTCTTTATATTTCTTTTTAACATTTTCTTTTTATTAGTAGTTTTCAAGTTCTTTTACTACTTCATTATAGTTTTGATTATATTAAAACTTTTTTTAAGGAATTAAAAACCACTTTGGTATATTCTCAAAAAAATATAGTTGCCCTATACATGCACATGTGTAGCTTGTAAACTAAGAAAGGGGTTCAGCTGATAGCTTAAATCTTATTTCTTGACCATAACTTTTCTACTTAAGGACATTTTCAAGAGCTGGATCAGAGGTAAAATGTGACACATGAGAATTTGTTAGTTATTATGATATAGCATGCACAATGGCCTCCAAAATGAAAGAAGAAAACGAAAGCAATCTCTTTATCTCTCAGTTTTCACAGGACCACATTTCAGTTACCCTATTTTATAATTTACATATTTTTTGAAGAGTAATTATCTTAAAATGCTTATACTGCCTATAAATGACAATTTTTAATAAGTAGATTATGAGTAAGTGTGTATAGACAACTATGACCCAGGGGCCATTTTCAGAATATTACAACAAAAGAAAGAGAAAATCTCATTACATGTTAAAGTTATGCATAATTCAAATTTCAAAAGTTTATTGGAAGATAGCCAACATTCATTTGTTATATCATTTATTACTGCTTTTGTGCTTCTCCTGCAACTTTGAGTAGTTGTACCCACAAAGCCTGAAATATTTACTTACTATCTGTAGCATTAATTTTAAGAGGCCAGAGATTTATAAGGAATAAGTAAATTTTAAATCAGTATCTAATTATATAAATTGCCTGGGTAAATTGCTAATATACCATTTCCAATATTATCAGTGCTGAGTCACTTTGATCTTTGATGAATAGCTTTACTTATAAGAAGTCTATTGCAGTATAGATAATGTCAGTCAAATTAATTTCTTAATTTAGATAATTTAGCAGATTCTTAATTACTTTTTGTTGTTGTTTACCTATCCTAATATGTTTCAAACACATTCTTAATTGTTTTTTTAAGTATGTGGGTTTCACACAAAATTTTTACTACCCTTACAGAAATCCCAGAAAAAGCAGAACGTCTTCATGCCTTGAAAGAAATTGTTAAGAAATTTCATCCTGTAAACTATGATGTATTCAGATATGTAATAACACATCTAAACAGGTATTTTTGCTTTGTTTTTGCAAATAAAATTCACTATCCATTTAAAAAATGTAAACTTTATAAATTGGATAATTGTAAATTTCATTAAAGGAATGCAAACTAAACATGATTGGTTTTTCTATAATGGTTGTCTAATTTATATTTTCCTGTTTATCTCTAAAACTATATGGTTATTTTTGTACATGAAATAATAACATAAATACCAAGTATGATCAGTATATTTTCTTTTTATCCTGCTTATTCTTTTGTAGTTTGGATAAATTATGATTTTATTTGTAAAATGACCCTCATATAATTAATCAAATCACCCTATTTGGATTTGGAAAAATTGAGGCTTAAAGAAGGAAATTATAATCCCCAAATCATAAAACATTTTAATAAGTGACACATTTTATGCCCAGAATCTAATTCTTAAGAGGTTTGATTTGCTTCTTCTACTATACTATATTGGTGTTTTATATCTTTCTTATTTTAAATATTCCATACGGTGGTTCTTTTCTTTTGTACTGGGGATTGAACCCAGGGGCCCTTAACCACTGAGCCACATCCTTAGCCCTTTTTTTTTTTTTTTTAATTTTGAGACAGGGACAGGGTCTTACTAAATTGCTTAGGGCCTCACTAAGCTGCTGAAGCTGGCTTTGAACTTGAGATCCTCCTGACTCAGCCTCCTGATCTGCTGCTATTACAGGCATGTACCACCGCACCCACCCACACAGTGAAATTTTATCACAAATTATCCTGTTACTTGAAATGCCGGGCACTAATCCTTACATTTCTATGCCTAAATATTAACATTTATCATAGCTTCAAGCTTTTGCTTTTTTCTGAAAAGATGATATTCTCAAAAAGCATTCGTTAACTAAAAGGTAATAATGTGTTAATAATTAAAAGCTTAATCTGTAGAATCAAATGGACGTCAGTGTGAAATATTTCTGGTTCTGTGACCTTGGGGGAAATTACTTTTTCTTGCTAAGTCTTGATTTTCTCAACTGTAAAGTGAGAAAAATAACATTTTACAAAGTTGTTCTGAGGACTGAATGGGATTGTTAGTTTTTATACTAATAGCTGTGTTTACTCTTCATGGTGTTTTCTACTGGTATTTTTATTAACTGCAGGGCTAGGGGTGTAGGTCAGTGGTAGAGCATTTGCCTAGCATGTGTGAAGCCCTGGGTTTGATCCTTAGCACTGCAGTTAGTCAGTAACTGCGGAGTTTGGGTTTTGTTTTTTTTTTAAAAAAAACTAAATAGTATCAAGGTCTATACAAAGTGTATTTTACTCTGTACTTCTTAAAAGAAGTTTAAAGTTTATTATTGCTATAAATGTGTAGTACCAAATTGTATTAACATTTCTTATAACCCTCTCCACAAATCTCTCATACCAACATACATAGTATTGTAGTATACTTAGCAGTTTCCTGTTTTGAAGAGTACAGTACTGTAAGGAGAGGTTGGCAGAATGATAACAGTGTAAATGGATACTGAGTAGACTTTACCTAACTAACATGAAGTATAGGAGTATTTTATGAATATATACTATTTTACTGAAATGAAAATACAGCTTCAATTAAAAGATTAGGGAATGCTGGGTACAGAGATGAATGCATCAAATGTAATTACTATACTCCTGTAATCCTAGCAGCTCAGAAGCCTGAGGCAGGAGGATCGCAAGATTCAGGTCAGCCCGAGCAACTTAACAAGACCCTGTATTTAAGTACCATATTGAGTTTAGCTGATTTTTTTCTTCTTTTAAGAAAAGAAATGAAAAGGCCTCTCTTCCTTTATAAAAGAAGCACTGCATGAATGCATTCTCTTTTAACTTGAATGATATGGAGACCCACCAGAGAGTAGAACAGAGAAATAACACAATCAGACTTAAATTTTTAAAATGAATGTTCAACTAGACTATAATTGGATAAGGCCTTCTTTGTACCAGGTACTCTCAAAGTGCTAGGGATGTTGGTGAACAAAATAAAATAGCTATATATTTCATGGAGCTTACATTCTAGTAAAGGAGAAAATAAATGGGTAGGAGATGATTGAAAAGTTACAAAAACTAATCTGCGGAATTATTGTTTGGCTATATTCTCTTTGACTCTCCACATCCACTAAGTGTCAGATGAGATTTTTTCTATTTTTTTCCCCATTTGCTTTCCTTTGCCACTACTTTAGTTAACATTTCTTACGTAGAGACTTATAGCATAGTTGTAGTTGAGCTCTTTCTCTGCCATCTTTCCTTACTAATTTTTCCTTTCTCCTAATGCCAGAAAGATCTTTCTAAAAACATCTTTCTGTAAAGATCCCTTATGATTAAATAGCGTTTTTATTTTCTTAGGAGCAAATCTAAACCTTGTAACACTAGGTGGTTCTAACTTCTTCAGTTGCATCACCCTTCCTTTTCCCAGATAGGTAATCTAAACTCTGCTGTATTTTAACTAATAGCAATTAGTTAAATTGATATAAAAGTATCAATTTGTATCTAGTTTGTCATTACATCTTGACATGGCTGCCTCTCTTGTTCCTAAAAAGTGGTACCTAAAATAGCAAATCTAGCATTTTCCTATTACATAAAAATACCATGTTATTTTTATAACCCTCTCCACAAATCTCTCATACCAACATACACAGTATTGTAGTATACTTAGCAGTTTCCTGTTTTGAAGAGTACAGTACTGTAAGGAGAGGGTTATGTTAGATCTGCTGTACCTACCATCTTTTAACAAAAGGTTGATTTTAAGCCTCTTTTAACAAATACTAATGAGTTTTACCATGGGGGGAGGGAGATATATATATATATAATTTGACCACATATGTTATCTCAGATGAACAACTTTTATTTTGGGGTTTCTTTTGGTTTAGATCTTAGGAATTTTTATTTTCATATTTAAAATTTTCCTCCTGTCCTACATGCTTCTGGACTCTTATGTATGAATTAGGAAAGTTAGATTAACTCCACAGATCCTTCCCAGTTGAATAATTTTGAATTCTAGCCCAAGATTTGCCTCTTAAATTTTTTGCTTATTAAAGATAATAGAAGTGCTTGCCTCCAAATTTAAAGGACTGTATGCCATTGACTTAATATTGTATATGATCATTTGTAAATTATTATTAAATCACATACAAAATTTAAGGTAGAATGTGTCATGAACTGAATGTTGTCTTTCAGATGATGTTTCTAACAATATACTAAAGGATTTAAAAGATTGCTTTATGAAGCTATGTATAGTGGCACACACCTCCCTCATTCCAGCCACTCAGAAGCCTGAGGCAAGAGGATTATAAATTTGAGGCCAGCCTCAGCAACTTAGTGAGGCCCTGTCTCAAAAAAACAATTTTTTTAAAAGGGCTAGGGATGTAACTCAGTGATAGAGCACTCCGGAGTTCAATCCTCAGTGCCCCTCCACCCTCCAACTTTTCCCCAAGAAAGGATGTTTTATGGAATGCAAAAAAAAAAGTGTTTTGAAAGTTCAAAATATTCTTGGTTGGGTTATATTAAAATTTTTTTCTAAAACTATTTGAAAGAGATGGCATATCCTGGTTATTTTTTAATCTCATAATAGTTTAAGAATGTGTGGGGTTTTGTTTGTTTATAATCTCAATTAATTGTCTTATGAATTTAGGGTTTCCCCACATATGTACACAAATTAAGAAGGCTTCCAAGGCACAACTTTTTAAAAAGACTGTCTGACATTCTCACAATATGGATTTTTATTTTCATTTCCTTTTTCAAAATGTAGTTGAATAAGAAGAAAGATACATAAATTCAATGTTAGGATAAAAGGTAACACTAATATGAGATAGTTTCTAGCTCTAGGATTCTGTAATTGTCATGAGTTCTGATTTCTGTTTTTTCCTTTCATAATTTCAGGGTTAGTCAGCAAAATAAAATCAACCTAATGACAGCAGACAACTTATCCATCTGTTTTTGGCCAACCCTGATGAGACCTGATTTTGAAAATCGAGAGTTTCTGTCTACCACTAAGATCCATCAATCTGTTGTTGAAACATTCATTCAACAGTGTCAGTTTTTCTTTTACAATGGAGAAATTGTAGATACTGGGAACACTGTGGCTCCTCCACCACCTTCAAATCCAGGACAGTTGGTTGAATCAATGGTACCCCTCCAGTTACCACCACCATTGCAACCTCAGCTGATACAACCACAATTACAGACGGATCCTCTTGGTATTATATAAATAGAAAGTGATTGCAGACAGCCTGAAATTGGAAAAAAAGCAAATCTACACATGCATGTTTCAGGGTTCAGTAGAATACTTCATGTTTCGTACAGATAATTCACATTCAAAATGATGAGACATTTTCTCTCTGAACTGTATGGTATTCCTCATTCACTTACATTACAAATCTAAGACCATGTGGTAAGCATGACTGGAGAGGTTTAATTTTTATAAACAAAAATAGCTATAAAATACAAAGCTACTGCTGCATGCAACCTTATTGCAATCAGTATATCATTCCTGTGGCAATTTCTGTCACATTATATTGTGAATAAAATTTTTCTATAGAAATTGATTTAAAAACTCACATATATGAAACATATAATGCTTTTCAGCCTGCTTTATGGCTGGTTTTGTTATTTGATGTGCTAATTTGGACAACTTAATTTACATTCTAGCAGTCTGCATAGATAACTAAAAGCCCAGTTAAGTATTTCTTAATTTCAGGCTACTTAATGCCATGCTTGGGATGTTGTTTAAAAGAAAGAAAAATTATACAGCATATTTTACATTTCTATACCTTCATCATTAATTCTGAGTAAACCTGTGGATGATTTGATGAGGGATAAATGAACCTATTTCTTTTATGAACATACCAAGGACATGTTTGTGGCTAAAGTGAGTTGATAATGTTGTACAAAGGATAGTTGTCACCAACTCATTTCTTTATGGTCCATAATGAAATAAACATTTTGTATACGGTTAATTCTGTAAACAGATGCATGTTCAAAAGATCTATGATGGTCTTGTAATCTTAATCTAATATATTTTAGATATTTTAATTTTTCCCTCTTGGGGAATACATTTAGTATAGTGTAGAGAAATACTTCATGACATTTTCATATAAGGTTATATAACTTTTCATAAACATGAAATTTGTTGTAGAAAATTCTTTAAACCAAACATTTTAATCTAGGACTTCAATTTAATCTGTTCCTTGAATCTATTTTTATGTGGCCCTTAGAAACATATCCAAAAAATCCATTGCTAATATAGCAATAAAAATACTTTGGGTACTGACAGACTCCTTGGAGTGTGTGTATATAAAATTACAAACTTGTATTCATATTCTTTTCTGTGATGTGTTGTACTAAAATCCAAAATGGCTTTTACACCATTTTTTAAACCAATTTTTTCCTTTCATGTTGGTACCAGAGTTGCTATAAATCACTGCTGCTTTTGGGGTTAAATATTTTGTTAGTGAAGATACAACCAGAGCACTAAATTATGGAAAAAAATTTGGAATAGATGGCACAGGTAAATTTTGTTAGGCTTTATTCAAAATTCTTTAATTATCAAACCATGCCATTTTTTTTTCCTGAAAAAAGGAAATGGTTTATATTTCATTGCTACATCATATTTTATGTAGTAAAGAATAAATTTTTTTTGATCAATGTTGTAATCTTCATCCATACTGGAATTTTAAGGTTATCTTACATGTATGATAGTAAATAGATGATTTTGAGATTCAAGGCTCCTAAGAGTTTGATTTGCTCCATTTTTTTCTAAAATATTCTTTCCTAACTGTTATGTCCTAGGCATTGTACTTCCAATTTTAACTTCAGAACCAAGATGTTGACATGAACCAGGCTGCTGTTGAAGTACATGTATATTATAAATTATCTTATTTGTGTTATACTCTTACATGTTATTATCTTTTCTAAGAAAACAAAGTCCCTATTATTCCTATTGCAAAGCACACAGGAATTAAGAAAGTACAGTAATTTTTAAAAAAAAAATCCGGTAAATGTAGTATTCTTAACTTGTTCTATATTACTTATACCTATTGTCTATATAGCTTTAATTTATAGCTGTCAGTTTAACATTGGCATGTCTGGCAAAGAAAATTAAACTTTAAGAGTTTTATAAACTGTTTCTAGGTTGCTAAAGAATTTATTTTTCTACTATATATGGTATAGACAAAGCATCAAACTATGTACAGGAAAAAAGCCTGACTATTTCTATTGGAAGTAGGCTGAAAAGAATTTTCAGAACTGTTCGTGTCTGGTCCATTCTGTCATAACTTTGCTATTGTAATATGTGAATCCCAGTTTATTTAAGCTATTCTCTTTTATACTGTGTTAATTTAACATTCATCTGCATTTAGTATCATTTTTGTTATTAAAATTAGCATTTACCATTTTTCATATGAACTCCCTTACACCTTTCCCAAATCTTATCTCTACTTTTCTATGCATTTCTATTGTTGATTTGACTCACTTCATAGTGAGTCATTTTAAATATTCTACATTTGGTTCAATCAACTAGTAGGTTACAGTTTTTGAAAATTAAAGTACGGTTTAAAGCTCAGTCTGTTACACTGAATTGATTGTGTTTGTTTTTGCCAAGGGTTTAGATATGTTTTTAAATATTAGCAAAATAATTCTAAAGACAAAAATAACAAATTAATCTTTCTTCTGGTAAGTTACTAGAAGATTTCACTGTTTAGGGACGTATCATATATGAGACTTCTTAAAGGATTTAAAGAATAGTAGATAGTCTCATTATTATGGGTAAATATAAGGCATTATATTTTAAAATATGAAATAAAATTCCACCTACACATGTTGCCATTGTTTCATTTAAAGTTCAATGCTTAACAGTTACTACAATATTGGATTTAACAGTATCTAGATTAGCAATATAAAGAAGCATAGTCACTCTATTTCAAACTTTCAGTAGATTTTTTTAGAAGTCAGATACTATTCACGGATACTTATTAGAATATACAAATAATTTTAGAACAAAATTCCAGACACACAACATATTTCTATTTGAAATGGTATTTAGTAGTACTTTTTTCCCCCTTAACATTTACAATGTAAATACTGTAGGTAACAGCAATCTAACTTAGCCAAAAAGCAGCTTTTATTTTCCATACCAAATGTAAATAATGTAGACCTTTTGGTTTTGTTTTTTGTTTGTTTGTTTGTTTGTTTGTTTTGAGGTACTGGAATCTAATTTCTAATATCTCTTAGATTAAAAGGGATTGATTGGAATAAGAACTTAGGCCTTAGCTTCCATGGTGAATTTTAGTTTTTTATACAGTAATAATTGTGATGCTATTTGTCAACTGGATATAAATATATATATAATTTTAAAAAGTCAAAGTGGTTTGTTTCTTTGTTTATAATTAATGTAATTTTGTGCTTCACCCAGAGGATGCTGCAGTAAATTAAGTATCAGTGAAGCTTCTGATGTACAAAGAGTGCTATAAATAAAACATTAAGAAGCTGTGTAATTCTAAGTTATAGTTGCCTCTATTTTTACCATTTTTTTGGTAAAAATCAACTAATTTTTTCAAGTAAAATATGAAAAATAAATTGACATTAATATGAAATTTTTATTAGGAAGATGTATTACTGCACTTCCCCTGTATCATAAAAGGAGATCTAAAATTCATGTATACAGATGAAAATTGGATTTTAAAAGTGGTCAGGGAAATGAGATTATGTATAGATTTCTAAAATTCAAATGTTACCTGAATTTTGAGCTGTGGCTAAACTTTCTTGAGCCACTGGAAATATTTTGAAGTGTATCCTAGTTATGGCAGAGATGTTAAAATTAAAGGATAACAATATTTTTGTTTTCGTGGTTTGGAAATATTAACCCAAACCTTAATAGTGTATGATGTCAGATTCTATGGATCTGGTGAGGTCTGTTTGACTTGAATCTTTGTATTTATCTTGAATTTAATTGTTTTAGTTAAGCAGTTTAATTCTTAGGCTGCATAACTTCTCTCTTGTTTCAGTACATTTGGGACATGTTTAGTTTTTTATTGTATTTAAATTCTTGAAATTCTTAGCCTTTTGGGTGATCATATATCTGAAAATAAAATTTGCTAAGTTTGAATAAGGGAAGAAGCTACTCTTTAAAATCATTTTCTTATGGTAGCATTGTTTTATACTTGAAAAGATTATAAGCATTAATACCTCATATTCCAACATCTTGTCATTTGATATGATACAAGTACTAGTCTTTATAAAGTAGTTCAAGTCTAACTAGTGAACTTTGAGAATCTTCACCATTCAGTCGAACCTCATCATCATTCTACATGCATGATTCAGTTCACTTACATATAAACATGCTATTTTTATTTTTGTCAGGAGGAAGAAGATAGAGCAATGACATCTAATATTGTTCACAACTTAATTAAAAGTTATAAGGTTAGTGTTCTGTGGAAATTTTGAAGGCAGTGGGAGTGATTTTTGAAAAGCCAGTCAATAGTCAATAAAACATTTTATTAATAAATATATTACCCTTAAAATTAATATTTTAAGTTACGGTTTGTCATATTTACCTGTAATTAGGAGTATTAAGACCTGCAATATATGCACTTTGTAATTAGCTGTTTAAGAATTTTTACTTGATTTATTCCCACAGTGTAGACTTTCTGTTTTGATTTTATTCTCTCAACTGGAAAGTTATTTTGAGCAATTTAATAATGGTCCTTCAGTCCTGATAGTTTGCCAGATATGTAGTTTAAATTTTCAGTTTTAACATTTTTCAAACTTATTTCTATATTGTTTTATATCAGTATGAATGATGTAGGTTTAGCAATTGACCTTTTGTTTATTACTTCACTATTCACCCAAATTAGTTTTAATTGTGTCTGTATTCTTCATTAGATAATTTTTTCTTGTGTCCTTGAATTGTGAATGTTTTGTCCTGTTTAGTGTTTTCCACGTTCTTGCTGTAAGTTCTGAAAATATTTTACCAACTTTCCATGTGTGGCTCTTAGTTTCCTTTTACTCCAGATTCTTGGTATTCTATTTTATTTGTTTTATTTTCCTCAATTCATGTGTTTAAAGAAGCAGAATTATTATAATATTTAATTCCATATAATAAGTGAAATCAGAAACAAGCACAGTCGTATGTATAGAACTCATTTTTAAGTGTATAGATGAGGTGATTTTTTTTCATTTATTAGTGCATTATAGTTACACATAGTAGTTGTTCATTTTAAACAAAATCATCCATTCATGGAATTTGCTTTATTCCATTTCAGTCCCTGGTTCTACTACATTTCCCAATTCTCCCTCCCTCCATTTTTCCTCTGCTGTTCAAGTGAAATTGTTTGTTTTTTGTTAGTGCTTTATCAATCTACATAAAGGGTGAATTCATTGTGGTATACTTATACATGCACATAATATGATTTTGTTGAATTCATTCTGTATTTTCTCCCCTTGCCCATCTCTCCTTCCTCTCTTCTCTCACTCCTTCATTAATCATCTGTATATCTTTATGATATCTACTCTCATTTTGCTCTAGCTTTCCACATGAGTGAAAATATTGAACCCTTGATTTTCTGATTCTTTTTTCACTTAGCATGGTTTTTCTAGTTTCATCTGTTTACCAGCAAATGCCTTAATTCCATTCTTTTTTATGGCTAAGTAAAACTCTATTTTGTATATATACTTCATTTTTCAGTCCATTCATTTATTGATGGTCACCTGGGCTGGTGTCATAATTTGGCTGTTGTGAATTGTGCTGCTATAAACATTGTGGCTATATCTCTGTAGCATGCTGATTTTAATTCTTTTGGATAAATACCAAGGAGTGGAATAAGCTGGGTCTGTCTGATTTCCATTTCCAGTTTTTTAAGGACTCTTCACACTGCTTTCCAGAGCAGTTACACTAATTTGGAATTCCCCCAACAATGTATATGTGTGATTTTTTCCCCCCACATTCTTGCCGGTTTTTATTATTTGCATTGATAATTCTTTTCTGACTAGAGTAAGATAAAACAGTATAGTTTTGATCTGCATTTAGATGTTAAACATTTTTTCATGATTTGGCCATTTGTGTTTCTTTTGAGAAGTGTCTATTTAGTTCTTTTGCCCATTTATTGATTGGGTTATTTGTTTTTTGGGTGGTAACCTTTTTGAGTTCTTAGGGACATTAATCCCCTATCAGAGGAATAGCTAGCAGAGGTTTTTTTTTTCCCCATTTCTGCAGGCACTTCCTCATGCTCTTAATAATTTCTTTTGCTGTGCATAGATTTCTAATTTGATGCCATCCCACTTAATGATTCCTGGTTTTCCTTCTTGAGCCTTAGTGGTCTTGTTAAGGAAGTCAGTTCCTGCATGAATATGATGGAGTTTTGATCCTATGTTTTTTTAACAGTTGCAAAGTATATTACCTAATTCCTAAGTCTTTGATAAAGTTTGATTTGACTTTTGTGTAGGGTGAGAGACAGGAGTCTAGTGTCATTCTTCTACATATGGATATCCAGTTTTCCTAGCACCATTTGTTAAAAAAGCTATCTTAAAACATAATAGTTATAAACTAATTATTTGAGAGAATATAGTCTTTAGATATCTTCTCAGATTTACTTCTTGGAAATTTCATTTCTAGATTTTACATTTGTTGGTAATTAGACATAGTTGTGAATGTTTTGGTATTATAGTATTTGAAGTGAGCGAAACTATTAGCAATGTACTTTTAAAATACAAATGAAAATCTGT